ACACCCTCCCTGTAAACATGGGGCTTGCCATGCGCTGATGACACCCTCCCTGTAAACATGGGGCTTGCCGTGCGTTGATGACACCCTCCCTGTAAACATGGGGCTTGCCGTGCGTTGATGACACCCTCCCTGTAAACATGGGGCTTGCCATGCGCTGATGACACCCTCCCTGTAAACATGGGGCTTGCCATGCGCTGATGACACCCTCCCCGTAAACATGGGGCTTGCCGTGCCTTGATGACACCCTCCCTGTAAACATGGGGCTTGCCGTGCGTTGATGACACCCTCCCCATAATCAGCACACAGGGAGCCTCATGTTTACAAGTAGGGTGTCCTCAGTCCACGCTGAGCCCCGCGATGACGGGTAAATATTTGTCCAGAGGCCAGCTGTTGGGCATCAATACACCTCTCAATATTTTAACCAAATTACTAACCTGCTTACCAAATTGTGGGTGTAAGTAAATGTTCGTATAGCACCAAGAAGCCGGCATCCAGGAAAATGTTTACATTAGGCACCTAAAGTTCTGGTGATTTTTACACATGCGCAATATAATCGTGAGGTGATATTGTGCAGCCGTAGAAATAAATTATGACTGCTACTTTGAGACCCAAGTAATGAATGAGCCAAATTCCACAATGAAAAATGACGGATTGTCCAATCTCCATTATTTTAGTAGCTGTGTCTTTAGCTCAGGTGCTGCTATCTTTGAATACCGATAAGTGATAGATCGATAACTTGATTTTTCAACCTATACCAATATGTTAGCCCTCAAGATGCATGATATTGGTTAACAATAACTTTTTACTAAGGTAGCAATTAGCTACGTCAGTATCTTGACTGTAGCTAGCAAAAACAACTGTTTCCCAAAAGCATTGTAGAACAAATATCAACCAGACAACGTTCTGTACCACATAACATGTGCGAGTTTCCCAAAAGTGTCGTAGAGCAGAGATCAGGTAATGCTTCCGTTATGAATATTATTGGGCCTTCCCAAGCTATCATACACTTTTTGGAAGTTCTCATGCTAGTGCTGCTACTTTGAGAACCTACTTGTAGGACATGAGCGTGACAGCATGCAACCTGGAAGTAAGAGTATCTTAAAAGGTGGATTTTGCCCCCCAAAATAGTTTATAACTGATTGTAATGTGACAGATTATGGAGCTGAATCACCACTTGAATCTATTCATCACAATGCATCTGTGCATCCCTAATAAACACTAATGAAATTGTGTGATAAAAGACTCCAGTGTGTCGCTACTAAGACAGGTGCAGGATTGCGCCCAGGTAGGGTAAGGACACTGAAATATCGGAGGTGAGAGTACTGAGCTTGCTGCCAGGCTGGCATTGAGAAGTCTCATTGGTCAATCCTGAAGCCCACATGAAAACAGCAGGGTAAGAAGTGGCAGATGCACCTCCAGGCGGCGCTGTCTGTCTGGATCCTCCTCATTCATGATACGCTCCTTCTCAGCACGCTTCTTTTCCTCACGGCGTGTCTGGGCAGCCTCCTGACGCTGAGTGTGTGTCAGTTTCAGGAAGTTCTCCTCCACACGAGCCCTGTTCTTCTCGGCCTTCTGCTTACCCTGGAGGCAGGGGGTGAAGGGGGGAGAGAGCTGTGTAATATCATGACTGCTTGTACCCTTAGCAAACTGGAGGTTCAATGAAGAAAGCTGTGATTCCAGAGGTAGAGAGAGAAACAAACTGGAATTGTGACAGGAAAACATTCAGAACTGGGAATGTTGCTCACCTCCCTGTTGAGGCGGAACTTTTTGACTTTGTCGATGCTGTAGATGACCATGTCCATGAGGGGAAACAGAGACTCCATGTCTCTGGGGGACACGTTTCCCATGCCAGGAACTGTACACACAAACATACATTATTGGGGACCAGGCCTATCCTCTCAGTTAAGGAGCTAAGCTACAAAATCAAATCACAGAGACGACAGAAGTTTAAAGGTGCCATACTATTCTGTATTCATTGTTGGTAGCCAGCCTTCCCTTACAGACACACAGTTGAAAATTGGTGCTTGCTCTGCTAAGTATGTGTTTGAGACGGTGACATATGTAGTCAAATCACTCTGGTGATTGAATCAGGGATTACTGTATCCCAATAATGGCTTGTTCATGGATATGCCTGAACAATGGGTGATGCCCATCTTCTGTACAACTGCAAAATCTACACAGCAAAAACGCAGAAAATCAGTTATAATTAATAATGTTTTATGAAAAGAACATTTTGACTAAAGTGAACTTAAGAACTAGCACGTAATTAGCCTAAACATTCTCCATCCAAAAAATCAACACACTACTTGTTTGGATCACGCCTCCCCCCTCGTGAGAATGCCGGCTCGAGTAGAAGAGCTGGTCTTAAACAATTCTTTATTTTCCCCAGGGACCTCGCAGTCGATGCAAGGTATCGTTGCTCCCATGTGGTCACATACTAAGCACTCTTTGCTCGTCTCCTGTGCCACCCTAGCCCCACCCACCTGTTGTGGTCCTGTGCCTGCGCCTTTGCCCCAGATCCCCACTTTGTGTCAAATTCAGTCCCTTGTCTCCATCTTCGACAGATTGACCTCCTTGTTTCACAGACCTTCCTGTTTCATGAGCTCGACTACGTCCCTGCCGACTGATTATGGTCCTGCTCACTCTGGTTTAAATAAAGCCTGGCTTGTTCTGCCCATGACTTCTGCCCGAGCGTTTTCTGGCCTAACAGTCCGTCATTGTGTGCCTACACACTCTCTGTTATAAATGTTGCTTTTAACCAGTGGAAATACAGGCCAGTTCTCAGGTCGTACTATCTGAGCAACAGCTGGGAAACAGCTTACTGTCAGCACTGGCACTAGCATCGACTTAGTGGATACATATACATTTATATTTGAAAATGCTCCATTTTCCCCAAAAAGTTTGTTTCTATTGGCATTATGTTCTCTGCGATGAGAATGAGGTTTATTTTTACCATTGAATGTAAAAAGTAGTGTCTTTCTTGACTCTGGCATCTTTAAAGGTTGACCCTCCCTAAAACAAACAAAAGGTCATAAAAATCAGTCAAGTACAGGCTATCATAGGGCTATGAGTAGGAAGTGACCTGACGGAAACTCACGTACTCCTGTACGAGCTTGGCACCGGAGAACTGATCTGAGAAATGGACAGACTCGATTTTGTCTGCGTTGTTGGCCAGAAAGTGAACCATCTGAAACAGATTGGGTGAGAAGAGGCTTCCAAATAGCATTATGGCCTGTATGTGTGTAAGCTGCGGAGGACTCCTTAGCACCTTTTGACCTTAAAGCACAGAGAGTGAACATGCATACTCCACACAGAGCGCCGGGGGAGGAAATCAAGCTGAACACGTGCCCATCCCCCAGTCTGGTGTCCTCTTTAACATGCATATGCATAGCCAAGCTCACCCCAGACATATTCCTCTGCCCTCACCTTAGTGTCCAGCATTCCATCAGTCACCTCTCCCATCTCCGACAAGATGACCAGGTGCTCCGGGAGTCCGTATTTGGCTCCAGATTTGGGTTTGTCACCACAGAACTCACTCTGTGGACAGAACCATTAATAATGTCACAAACCCAATATAATGCACCCAAATGATGGCAGTGCATAGTCCTTCGATATATGAATGAATGCTTATTTAAAGCCTTAAAAAATAAAATCTAGTGGCATATTTACCAAGTATCACCAAAAAAAGGCCAACCATGCAGAATACTACGGGGCTCCAGACTATGACCAAAGCGGTTACATTTATTGAGAGTGTGTGAATTAAAATTTTACACGATCACATCAGTGCAAGTGCATGATAATCATTATGATGTTTTGCTCCGGTATGGGTACTGCGTTAAATTGTGATTGAAAGTTTTCTTCCCTGGTCCTGTGCCTTTTTTTTTTTTTTGCTGAGTTGGTCTCTTACGTATATGTACACAGATGATTAAATGTTGTAAAACAATCTCTTTGGCTGTGGTGTTAATTTGTTCCAAAAATTAAGTGGTTTATAGCTGATGTATTAAGACGAACTTACAGGTGGCCCCACAACTGGTCACGTCGCCCTAGTAGCATAGAATTAAAGAAATATGTTGAATGTTCCCCTGTCACTGTGATGATTTGGGAGGTAGTAATTGTCTGGCTTCACTACTCACGATTTGGGGGAGTACCTCCAACTCCACCTAGCAGACATACATATGAGGTGATTGAGCTGTGGATCGATTCTGACCATGTGTGGGCTAATCATCCTGAAATTCAGATACAGCGTCCATATCGTCCATGATTCACTCATAATACTGTTGTGTCAGGGTTGAACTGTATAACTTGTTTCTCATGAGAAGAATCAGCTTATCTTGTCCCAATAATTCTTGTCCTGGGATACTTATTCTGTTCAAGGACACTTGTTATTTCTGATTCATGAGATGCTAACCTTGTTCAAGGATGCTTACTTTGTTTTTTATGGACTTTCCTGAGAAGAAAAGGTGGTCCAACATGTGTTTTATACATTATCGATTAGTCTGTGGGCCACTTATTTTGTTCTCAGAAGATGTTCTCACGAGAAAGGGGAAGTTGATCAAGGATACTCGTCCAATTACTTTTGATTGAAACTGTATCTAGCAATTGGTGTGTGGGATACTGATCTTATCTAGAGAAAAAGGGAATGTGTTGATTATGGGAACTTGTCTTCGTATTTTTAATTTTAACCGCAAGCCGCATTACCCGGACAAGATTGGAAATTTGAGAATGCCTTGCCTGGGGGGAGGGGTGAGCCTGGCCAGCTCATCCCCTGCCCACACGTAATGCCCAAAAATTAGTATAAAAGGAAGGGGGAGATCTCGGTACTGACCGGAGCTCAGCCGTGGATAGAGCGCGCATCGCTCGGCACTTTCTCGGGACTCACATGTTGATCTCCTACCAGGACTGAAAGGGGCTCCCCAGTCTAAGAGTGAAGGTGGGTGATGATGGCACGTCCGAGTGTGAATAGTTGTGTCTGTGTACTGAATTATTTTATGAGAATCACAATAATAATAATAATAATAATACGTACTTTCTATGTATGCATGTTTTATTGTCACTTTTTATATATACATATAATCAGTTGTACTGGCAGTTTGATTATTGTTTATGATTTAAAATACCATTGGATATCACTTATGATATGGAATTATTCTGCATTACTTTTGAACCTGTATTTGGGTATTGATTTTAATGCAAGGTTATTTTGTATTACTTGTAATAAAACGTTTTTAGAAGCGAACCTAAGTGTGCCTGTTTGTTCCTTCGAAAGCCCTATATCCCCCTCACATCATCTTAAAACAGCTGATTATTTAAAAAAACAAAATGAGAAGAAAGGGGAAGCTGGTGGAGAGGGAGAGCTGAAGAGAGATCCCCAGACAGACAAGTGATGATGAGAGTGATTAAAGTTATAGTTCAGATTTAAATGTTTTGCAAACCCCCTCAAATTCACATATTTAACATTCATGGTTTTGGTAATTCATGAATTGGCTGTAGACAAACAAATATTTTTGGAGGTTGCCGAAAGTGCAGAAACTCACAGATGGCGAGTAAGCCAAAGACAATACTGAAAATGATTTGGATCCCAAAAATTTATACTATACTATTACTAATATATAATTAGACCTGTCACAATTACTTGATTAAACTCAATTACTCTATTATTTAGAAGCATCGATTAAAAATTCTTCCTTCCCTCGATTACTTGCAGTATGGTGGAAGGGACACAGCGCATAGCGGATGAAGATGAAAATAAAGAGCCAAAGCCAGTTGTGTGGAAGCATTCAGAGTGACGAAGATGGACAGGATTGGGAATCAGTATATTAGAGGGACAGCTCAGGTTTGACTGTTTGGAGACAAAGCCAGAGAGGTTGGTTTGGACATGTACAGCAGAGAGATGCTGGGTATACTGGGAGAAGGATGCTGAGAAAAGAGTTGCCAGGGAAGAGGAAAAGAGGAAGACCTAAGAGGAGGTTTAAATTATGGATGTGGTGAGAGAGGACATGCAGGTGGCTGGTGTGAA